ACATAGCTTAAATGATCTAAGATGATTTGGCAGACGCTTGATCTTTTAATGTTGATAAACAATCTCTGCCTAATTTGGTTCTTCGAAAAAGTTTGCGAATAAGATTAAAATGTCTGAATAAACCGATTTGAGATTGCTGCATGTGTTGTGAAGGACAGATCTATCGATCCTCGAAATCATGATCAGCAACGCAACGATTGGCTGACGGTGCAGCAGCGTTATAAAACATCTTCTAAATAATATTCAATTCTTCATGCGAGCAAAATTAAATAACATCCATAGTAAATGTTAAAAATGATACGCAATAACTTTCCACCTTTGTTGTGGGCTGCAGGCTTTACACTTCCATGTGTCGAGTATCTAGCAATTTAGCAGATTTTCTTTATTATAGTAACCTAGGCCTATTCAAGTTTCCTAATGATGTGGTGTGAGGCATATCTGGCTGTTCAAATTTATTTTGTAAAGGTAATAAAGGTGTCTGCAACATTTGTGAAGCATCAAATCAGCGGCATATTAGCCATCAAAATGTTTGCATGACTGCATCATTATTCCTTTTCCTTTATATATACAGGTGAAGTCAGAATTATTAGCCCCCTTTTGATTTTTTTTCTTTTCTTTTTTCTATAAAGCAACCTATCATTATACAATAACTTGCCTAATTAGCCTATCCTGCATAGTGACCCTAATTAACCTAGTTAAGCCTTTAAATGTCACTTTAAGCTGTACTGAAGTGTCTTGAAAAATATCAAGTAAAATATTATTTACTGTCATCAAGGAAAAGATAAAAGAAATCTGTTATTAGAGATAAGTTATTAAAACTATTATGTTTAGAAATGTGTTTAGGAAATCTTCTCTCTGTTAAACAGAAATTGGGGAAAAAAAATAAACAGGGGTGCTAATAATTCAGGGTGGCTAATAATTCTGACTTCAACTGTATATACACACATACCTATACATATTCCACCAAATGCTATTTTCGTAATGCTTCTGAAGTTTTATCATTGGTATTGTGTTGTCCATTTAATTACATTTCTATTTTATTAGAAACATGTCAACTAAATTACTCTAATATTTACTTATAGCAATTAAATTTTACTACAGCTATATATTGGATATCCAGAGAAACTTGTAATTCGTATAAGCGGTGTATTATATTTCTCCATATTACTGTAAGTGACATTTACAGTTATAAGTCTATTGAATTGTCCTCAAGCTTCCATCTCAAACATGGATCTTCATCCAAAGCATCCCAAGTAGCTGCGTGCAAATGTAAAATCTTTAAAATGCCATTTTCTTTTCTAAGATTCATTCAGCCAGAGTGCCTGATGCCATTGGACATGCTGAGAGCTGTACGATTGCACAAAGCACTGAAAGACGAGTCTAAACTGACATATAAACACAGCATCTGTAACCATCATAAAAGACTGGTTGGTGTTGTAGCAATTCTGGCAGATCATAATTAATATGAAATGCCAGCAATAATCTGCATAAGCAAAGCTATTTTGGTCATGTGAACCTTGCCATTTGAGGCATCTGCATCGCAGGGGCCATTAACGGGGCCGGTGATTCAGCGCAGCACGACACATGAACTCAACGCTGCAATTAAACTGTCTGTTGTGTGAAGGCAGCAGGCGGCTGGACCATTCACTTCCAAGTTTAAAACCTGTTCAACCTCTGTCTTTGTTTGCACTCCACGACCAGAGAAAAGCTGCGGCAAAAAAATAATTGCACTCTCTTGTTTACCCGCCATAAACGTCAGAGGAAATGTTTATGGCCGACAGATGCTAAAGCTAGCTTGTATTTTCCCCTTTTTGCCGACACAAGAGCTCCTCGGCTATGGATGACCTAGGGTTAACCCTCCTTCTGCGTTTCCGTGACGACGGAGAGGGGAGAAAAAAGAGAGGAAGTCAGACGGAGGAGAGTTATGCCCCGACACACGGCAGGACGGAGCGAACAGCAGGCTGCGTTAAAGAGAACCGCACGTCCACATTCCTGATCTCCCTCAGCCCCCATACTACGAATAAACCGAGCATTCCCAAAAACCCAGTTCTCAGATATCTCGTGGAGGGGCCCAAATATGCAGCATCAGATTGAAACAGAAAGAGAAACCAAAAGACGGAATTAAATGAAACACCACTGTACTGCAGATATATACTAGTGGGTGTTCAGCACGGGTGTATAAACTTGGTTCTGGAGGGCCGGTGTCCTGCACAGTTTAGCTCCAACTTCCTTTAACACACCTGCCTGGAATTTTCTAGTATACCTAGAAAGAAAGAGCTTGATTAGCTGGTTCAGGACTGTTTAATTGCGCTGGGAACTAAAATATGCAGGACACCGGCCTTCCAGGACAGAGTTTGGACACCCCTGGTGTACAGTAAATATGAGCATGACAAATAATGAATAGAATGTTATAATAGGCGGTGATTTTCACGTTGTAGAAAACATGGATTGAATCGCAGAACTCATTTTAAAATTTGGATTTTACTTTTGACAGGAAAAATAACTGAATATTTTACATTTTGAATGAATGAATGAAAACAAAGTAGGTCCACGCACTTTAATCTAATTTAGATATGGGCTAGTGGAAAAATATATACACAGCGTGTACAAGTTAAGCATGTATAAGTACACCACTCACAAATATATCTTTCAAATTATTTTTTTAATAGAAAGCTATACATATTATATTTGTACATTTACATCAGTCACTCCTGAAGCCAAATCTGGAGCTAATCTTACAAAATAACTTACGATAACAGTCCAAAAACTATTGGATTAAAATTTATATGGTATAGAAAAATATTAAATACAAATTTTTTTTAAAAAAAGAGGAAAAACGAGAGAGGCAAAATTGCTTATTTTTTATTTAGTTGAAATTTTGTAGGTTGCAATTTATTTTTGCAATATTTACCTTGAATTGAATTGTATTATCTTTCTATTTCTAAATATGTTTGGTGACTAAAACATTATTTTAATAAATATATCCGTTTAATCTGTTTTGTTTAAATGCATCAAAATACATTTCCTATCTTCACTGAGAAAATGGATAAAAATATTCATTTTCAAAATGGGGTGTACTCAGTTATGCGGAGCACTGTATATTAAGTTGTTTTAAGTAATTCAATTAACTTGGTTTTGATTTACCCCTAATTAAAATGGAATAAAAAACAAAATAATAAAATCTAAAAGAAATGCCTAAAGATCCTAAACAGGGCTACTTTTTCTATGAAGTTTCATTATTTCAGTTTAATTAGACATGATTTTGTTTAATAAAATGTAATGTAAACATTAAAACGGAGTTTTAAAACAAAAATTATTTTTCCATTATTTATAAAAAAAAATAAAACAAATTTGTAGGGCTCTAATTATGCATTCATAACACTGTAAAACATGCTGGGTTCCACACAATCGATTTGTGTTGTGATGACACAAAGGAATTACGTTTACTTAGTTTTTACAAATTTAAGTGGATTAAACAAGAAAGTTAAGTTGTCGCAAAAAACCCTCAAGAGCTGCGTTGATTTAGTTCATTTTAAATAAACAGCTTGAACAAACAGCAAATGTCATTTTTAGAGTGTAGTGAACAAAACATGTTATGAACAGCTGTAGATATTATTTCTGGTTCGCCAAGTCAGAAAATAAGTGTACTGTATCCTTAATAAATAGTAGGTAGTATGAAAATATATAGTTTATTTTGTAATTCTATTCATCACATCAACACAATATTAGACCTGTCATGATATCAAATTTTTGTTGTACAATTTATTGTGATAAATTATATTATTGTCCTTTTAAAATCAATTGATACCTCTTATATAATGCAAGTATGAATGTAATAGCATCATAACAAAAGAACCCTCTTACAAAGAACAGATAATATTTTATTCTTGAGAATATTTAATATAATTATAGCAACTTCAACAATTAGGCATTAGAATCAGAATGTGAAAATGTTTATATCCTAAACAATTAAATAAAATATGCCAACAGGAAGTGCAAGGTATACCAAGAACTAGGAAAAAAGTAACTGTGTTTAAAAGTCTAAATTGACATTGTTAAACATGAGGCACAGGACACTGAACAGGCCACATCCTCGACCAGATGGATTTTCAGTTGTTATGCACCCAAATATACTATAATAATTTGTAGTAAATAATTCCATAGTACAGTGGTTCTCAAACTTTTTTCATCAGGTACAACCTTAGAAAAAAATTGTTTCTCCAAGTACCACCAAAATAAGAAGTATTGAAATACAGTAGCGTAGTAGGCCCAGTAAAGCAGCTACAACTCTGCACAGTTAAAAAACCTGGCAGATTAATTCAGAAATATAGCCTATATAATATATGGCATATTATATACATCATTTTTAATACATTTTGAATTATATGTAGCATGTACATGACATATTTCATTCCTCCGTGTACCACTAAAAGGAAGCCCGCATAACACTAGTGGTACACGTACCACAGTTTGAGAACCACTGCCATAGTACATACCATAGTTTTTAAACCACACTGACACCTTAAATAGAGATTGGATGAGATGACAGAGGCTGTGCAATCAGCTAAAGCGTTGCTAAGTATGGGCGATATATATTGCATCACCAAAATGATTAAGGTCATGTCCATGTGTTGTGCGACAAATTGATATATTGATTATTGTGACAGGCCTACACAAAACTCATTTGATTTTGTAACTTCTCTGGAAAGCTTCAGTTATTAAATCAAAAATTGAGCAATGGGAACATTTTATTACAATTTTAAACCTGATAATTTGATAATCATAAAATATTTATCATCATTGCTAAAAACAGCAAAGCCATTACTGCTTAATATCTTTGTGGAAACGATGATCTATTTTTCAGGATCTTGATAAATAGAAAGATCAAAACAACAACATTTATCTGAAATTGATTTTTTGGAAACAATGTAAACGTCACTGAAAAATCTTACTGACCCCAAACTTTTGGACTGTGTGTCAGACTTTCAAATTCAGCTTACCTGGAATCTTTTCCCAGATTTGTTGAGTACAGAAATGTTTGATTCCCCTCCATTTCCACAACGCATTTTGTGTTCAGGTCCTTTTCTGTGAAAAAAAGCACATTAAGGCTGTTTAAGAAGACAATCGTTCACTAACAATTTAAAATCTTCAAAAACAGATCATATTAAGCATAAACTCAATCGTAAATGTGTTTGTCTTGTTAGATGAAAGTGACACTATTAAGATATTGTTGTTTTAAACACACAAAACAAGGATCTGAAATCAATAGCAAGTGTTTATTTCACAGCAGTACAAGATGCTTGAGGAGTGTATTCAAACCAGCATTCTGAGTATACACATGCTGACATTCAATTATAGATTCAGTTTTAAATAACATGTATTATATTGATATTGTGTGCTCTTTAAAATACCGTAACCAATTAGGACTGGGCGATAATTTGATAACGATAATTATCACAATATATATTTTGTTGATAAAACGATAATGACAGTTCGCAAAGTGTACGATAATATTTATGTACTATGCGTAACACTGCGCACTGTGCGGAGGAATTTTGCAGCCTGCACTTCCGAATGCCACACGTAGTATAAGTTTACAGCCATACGGTGTTAGTTGCACTTGGAGGAGTAAAAACAATAAAAAATTAGGTCACAGACATTGTTGGCAAGAAACGTTACAGAACTTCAGTAGTCTGGAGCTACATGGTTTCTGCAATCCAACACAAAAAGTGCGATTTTTAAAATAAGAATCTGCATGGGCCCCTTAATGCCAGTCTGTCAGATGAAATTGGTTAAAACACCTGCAGATATAACCAAGATCTGCGGATAACAGGGTTTTATGAGTCCTGCAATATGCAATGTAAAGAGGATGACTCCTAAGGTAAGCTGTACACACTTGATTATGTAATGCGTGGATGCATTTTACAGCGCAAAGCATATTTTACCCTTTGCTTAATCAGTCATCAATAAGGTCTGTTGATTAAAGGGTTTTTGACAATCGATAGTTCATCACACTGTAAAAAATGGCTGCGATTTCAACGGTAAAAAACTGTAAAAATGCTACAGTACAAATCCGTAACCTGGTTAACGGTATGTTACCTTAATATATATGGCGAATAACCGTAAATTGACTTTCCCAGAATTCCCTGCATGGCACATAACTTTTTATGCATTTTGTTGACATTAATATGGATCTTTTTAGTTGTTTCCCAATCAGTTATGTACATTAGAGATTTATGTTACATCTAATGTAGACAAACAATGTTTATTTAATTACTTTAATTTTATGCGTGCTACGATAGTGGTGTTTAGTAGCTGTGTGAATGACACGGAGCACCTACTATATGCTGATATTCCTTTCTGCTTGTGGGAAAAGTTGATTGTGATGAGCATTGGCTCATTATTGAACTTCCTCATCACCACCTCCATGTGGATGTGCTAACGTGTCTAACTGTGTAACAAAAGATGTGTAGATGTTGGTCATTCAAAATAAAGACATATTATCTCTATAAATTAATAAAATGAGAAATTACTTTAACGGTTTGTACTGTGTTTTTAATGGTAATGGCAACCACAGCTGCCGTTTTTTTACCGTAAATTTTACGGATTTATTTTTTACAGTGCAAGTAATTGTTAGCATCCCTAAATAAAATATATTAAAGGATTTCACCCTAGATTCATCATGCTCACCATTAAAAGAACAGTTCATCCAAATCTGAAAATTCTTCACCATTAAGTCACCTTTTATTGTTGCAAACCTGTTTTACTTTGTTTTGATGTTGAACAATAATACAATAACTTGTAGGGTAATGTCTTTGGTTGTTAAAAACTTAGATTAAAAAATTAGTTAAAAAATAAGATTGTTTTTTTTCCTTTTTTTGTTTGTTTATTATTTTTTAATTTATATTGTCAGAAAACTAAAACATTTTACAAAATTTGTTAAAATCACACATTCACTGCAAAAAAAGGATTGGCATGCTGAAAATTCTATAAAATTGAGATATAAAGACTTGACATTTATCGTGATAATTATCGTTATCGACTGATATGAAAAAAATATTGAGATTTTTTTTGCCATATCGCCCAGCAATATAACATTTATTTTAGGTCAGATTAATTTCTTAGCTAATGCCTAATAGCAAACTAAAATGAAAAGTTTTAAACATTTTTTATTAAATGGAGTTAATATCTAATAAAATTATGTTTTATTTAAAAACAAAAACATAACTATAGGCAATTTTTTTAACAGCTGATTTTATTGCATTACCTATTGCTTACTAATAGGATTGTATTATAAAGTGTTACTTATTGTTCTTTATAATCCTTTTGTAATTTAATTTGGTTTAAATATTTTTTTACTCTAAACAGTTATTTGCAATAAATCAATACACTAAGCAATTTTGGGTTATTATACCTGCTAAAGTAATCGTTTTGTGCAATTTGACACTGGAAGAAGCCTATTGTGACACAAAAGAGTTTTATTGACATCTATAGTCGCAGAGTTATGGAAAGAACTCAAAAAAAAGTTTTACAAACACATGTCCTCAGACAGAATATTAAATGCCATTTTAGGACAATCAAATTGATCTCCCCTGACAGACTGTTAACTATATTACCAAAATCTGTGAAACCAAATAACTGTACACATGCTAGATGCCATATGGGAATCTTATTAATGAATGTTTTTAACAGCAAGTTCTAAAATCCGGATTTGTCCAAAATATAATTCACTTCAATGTAATGCAATGACCTCATCAGCAATGACCCACTTTCTTCTCCATATACATACAAAATTATATTCTCTGCACAACAAAAACTATTTATTTATTTATATATATACATATATATATATATATATATATATATATATATATATATATATATATAAACAAAGGTAAGGAGGGCTAATATGTTCGCATGAGAGCAGAGAAAAAAAAGTGAGTTATAATAAGTAACTATTATAAATAATGATGTAAAACCATTTGTTTTATTTTCTGATAATCTTTTTGGTATTACAGGCTAGGGCTGCATGATATTGCAGAAAAATTATGTCATTGAAATATTATCTTTTGATTTTGTATGAAAGTATATCTGCATACAATATAATAAACACATTGCAAGCATACAACAGAGTAAAGAAACAAACTAAATAAACATTGCTTTATGGTTTTCTGGGGAGTTTAACAATAATCAGGAACAGAAATGTAGTAATCAAATGCAAAACAGCACTGTATACTTATATAATATCAATCTTTTAGCTTTAAATATTTCATTTATTGTACCTAAAAATCGCTTAAATTATAGTTTAAAATGCTCAAACAGTCTTAGACCTTGTAAACAAATGCAAATGAAAAAGCTTAATATCGGAAAAGGCTCCACTATGTCCTGATCTGTAATATCTGCCCATTTATAATCTTAAATCGACATTGCACATCCTGTGATGTGACTATTGAGGATTTGCACGTTGCAAAATAGATGCTGAAATGATTTATCGTGCAATTTATTAATACAGACAATGTTTAGTAGTGTGCTTACAATTCATTCATTCATTCATTCATTCATTTTCTTGTCGGCTTAGTCCCTTTATTAATCCGGGGTCGCCACAGCGGAATGAACCACCAACTTATCCAGCAAGTTTTTATGCAGCAGATGCCCTTCCAGCTGCAACCCATCCCTGGGAAACATCCACACACACATTCACATAAACACTCATACACTATGGACAATTTATCCTACCCAATTCACCTGTACCGCATGTCTTTGGACAGTTGGGGAAACCGGAGCACCCGGAGGAAACCTACTCGAAGGCAGGGAGAACATGCAAACTCCACACAGAAACGCCAACTGAGCCGAGGTTCGAACCAGCGACCCTTTTGCTGTGAGGCGAAAGCACTACCTACTGCGCCACTGCCTCGCCTGTTACAATTCAATGATATACTAAAAATGGAAATGTTCTGTTTTTATCTTAGACACTATGCATATAGCAACACAGAGTGTGTTTACATAGACAGCAATACTCTAGTTTTAATATGATTAAGACAATACTCTGATTAAGAATCTACCATATAAACAGAGATTTTTGATTACACTCAAAAAAAAAAGTTATTTATTTAACCCAATGGTTGAGTTAAACATATTTAGTGCTTTGTTGTTATTTTAACCTTTATTTAGTTATTTATATATTAACTCAACCAGTTGAATTTCAGCAGTCAACTGATTTAACTGACACAGAACAGCTGTATTAATAGGCGTGCGTAATTCTTTGCGTTATAAAGTTTATTTAAGCTCTAATACAAAATTATTGTTGTTAATTTTTCATTAAATTACCTCTCTGTGTCGTGTTTTTTATACCCGTTTCACCAGCACTCTTGATTATTGATGATATAAGTGGGCGCTTCATAGCTGATCTATATTAAATACATAAAACGCTTTCTCTACCTCCCATGTTTATCTCTACTATTTTTTCTTTGGAGGAATTAAATGATACACGTATTTGAGATTTCCGGCCGTCATTCTCGTCTTAAGGGCCTAGCGGAGACATTTATTTATTCATAGAGCCATAATTGTAAAATTAAAAGTAGGAGTTAAAATGACCCATAGTTGGGAAGGTGCGATAATAACCTTATAATTGGGTTATAGCTTGGTGTATTTTTAACCCACCCAACTATATTAACAGAGTACTTTAATCCGACTGAAGTCATAATTGTAGTAGGGATTTCACGATACTGGAATTCAATACCAATCGGTACTAAAATGTTTAAAGCGTTCATTTCCAGCAAACATTTGAGCGCTGTTGAGCACTGTTGTGCTTGTGTTCACGTGCTCAACAGAAATGACTGTGATTGGCCGTGAATTGTAAAATCAATCCAATATATCGAAAAGTATACATTTTCTTTCTAAATAAAGCTATTAATTTGACATTATACTCAATAATCGCAATATATATCATAGAAAAATTAAATATCACAATGTCAGTTTTTTCCAATATCATGCAACCTTAATTGGAACTCATATTGCAGAAAACGAAATATTGTAATGTGGTATAACATATAATACAGGCACATGAAAGGAACACTCTAAAACCAACTCATAAAACCCTTAATCATCTTGTTTAGATTAAGGTAAATAAACTGATTACTGATGTTCATGTAAATGTAGGCAGTCAAAGCTATCTCTGCTCACAATATCCCCATATTTTATTTTTTTATACGTGTCATTTTGCATATGACTTCAGGGGTATTTTTAGTGAATGAAGATGATATATAGTGAATGAACACAAGATGCAGAAGTGTCAAGTTCAAGTGACACTTCCATGAAACTCTCTTACACTGGACATGTGCCACCAGGCCATCTTTAAAGGTTCAGTGAAATTAAAATAATGTTTTTTCGATGTTAGTATCAGTATGTTAGTCTTCAAGGATATAAAAACTAGAGTGGTACAAAAGAGATCAAACTGATATAAACATGTAAAGCTTACAGTTTGTCTCTTCCGCCTAAATGGATCAACTTTTGTCACTTCACACTTCAGTTTCTCATCAAGTATTGACCAATCAAATGCTCTCTAGCATCAGACATGCCTCGCCTGCTTCAAGACGCTCCTCATTTGCTTTTCATTTGATGCACTTGAGCGTAATCCCTCATTGACAGAGCTGTGATAAAACAAAATGCTATTGGTAGCTTTTTTAAAGGGGAGGAGCTACTCTGTCGCGCCCTCTCTTTGTTTTTTAGTTGAAATTATATCAAACATTACATTCAAAAAAAAAAAAAAAAAAGCATATTTCAAAGCACTTCACGGGACATTTAAAGTTAATCCCTGGGATTGGCACAGATTTCAGTCTGGGAGCACTGGCAGCAACAGCGAGAACAACCTGCACCAGCATTCCCCCAAAGCAGCTTCCTGTCCAATAAATGCATACCAAATAAACTTCTGTGGTTCAGTCAGCTGAAAGTCTGAGATGCACCGACAGATGAAAACTAAAAGGCTTGGCCTACTGCTAACACTCCCAACCCAACAACAGGCCAAAGCTTGCCTGAAACCACCACAACTTTTCTGCGGACAACAACAAGGAAGCGGAGAGAAAGCATCTGCAGCTGACTCAGAATTCCTTGGAAAGGATGCAGTCCGAAGCCACGCTAGCTGCAACAACTTCCCGCTAGCGCAGGAAACAACTGGTTTCCTCTCAGCATTGGTGGCCAAGGTCCAATCTAACTAGCTATTCCAAAAATCTGAATTTCCTGCATTATGTCACTCGAGTGAGAGAGAAAAGCATGTGTAATGTTAGGAACATTGATGAGCTTGGAAAGACTGACACAATCCTGAACCTAATAGATCATCCAAGATCAAGTGACAATGGGGTATTTCTGCACACAAACTTTTCATTTTCAATCATCCAGCCCAAGCTTTAGGGTGAACTGTCGCACTATTACAAAATTGGCACATTTAAGATTTGATTTCTTTAAAAATCTGTGATCTTAACTGCCTGATTAATATATACGATATAAAGTGGGTTTCAAACTGGACAAGAAGCACTGCAGTAAATTCCATTTTTTTCACACCAAGTTTTTAAAATATGGGAATTTATTTTACTGTAGTATTTTCATTTTCAGCTACTGATGGTGCTTACATTTACACTGTCTTTTAGGGCTGTGCGATTAATCGAAATCGAATCGCAATTGCCATTTGAAATGTTGTGATTAGCTAAAAACTGCAAGAGGCTGTAATATGAAATATGTATTATTTAATTTAGAGTAGCCCAGAGCTGCGACAAAAAACAACAACAAAAAAAACAAAAAAACAAAGAGCCAACCACAAATGAGTTGGATGATGGCATTTGCCGCTTTCAAAGAAAAACTGCATGCCGGTAATATGGGAATATTTTGGTTTTAAAGTCACAGGCACCGGATAAAACCAAGTAATTTGTAAGAATTGTTGCCACAGCATGAGAAAATACAACAACCAGTACTGAAAAAAGCACCACAGGTGGCTATATACACAGGAGTGTTTTGCTAAAAAGTCAACTGAAAATATTGCCAGTGATAACAGAGTTTCAGAGTTGTTTTAGTCATGTTAGTTTACTGAATGTTCTCTAATTTTATAATTATTGTCTTTTTGTGTTTGTAATAAGCAACACCATCTCGCTAATTAGAGTTCAACTTATTTACAGAAGGGTACGGTCATTTTTCTTGGGTTTATTGTTTGCTCTAGAGAAAAATAAGCATTTAATTTCAGAACATTTAAAGACAGATAAATGTTGTAGTAAGTTAATATCTTTTCTGTTCCTTTTATAACCAACACTCACTGCAATTAGCATTAAGAAGCTATGATACAGATTATTGAGCTGAAGCTTTACCATCAAAATCAAAATTGCAAATCAAATTGAAATACAATATCGGTCAAAAAAAAAAAAAAAAAAAAGAGCAATTACAGTAGATATTTTCCCCAAATCACACAGCCAGGCTTTCATCTCGTTTTACACCTGACAAACTACATAAATGCTTAAGTCTGTTTAACTGTTGAATTTTAATTGCATTACAACATAGATGCTGAAAAAGGAACCTTAAAACATTGGCCGTGAACATACCCCGTTGATCACCTAGACACCTACAGATATTAAAAGGCAGCACACCCAGCCTGATCTTACGAAAAAACGTAGGTATTTTACGTTTTGCCAGTTTAGTGGCTAATTTGTAAGAATTCGTACGAGTTCAGTCGTGCGAAATTGTATGATTTGAAACAGGAGGCGTGGCACCTATCCCCACACCTAAACCCAACCATCATTGGGGGATGAGCAAATTGTACTAAATTGTACGAATTAGATTGTACGAATTCATACGAGTTACTAGCCACTAAATCAAAAAGTTACGAACTGCCGTGAGATTGTGTTGGCACACCGCTGCCCTGAGGCTCATTTCTATAACTGTTTCTGTGAGTTATTGGAAGTAAAATTATAAACAATGCATGTTTCGGTTAGTTATATGAAACTTTGACTGCATTCTTCTTGCCAGGCAAGAAAACAATCAGGCAGTTTGTGTACTCAACTGACGTGGGGCACCAGTAAATCATTAACTTGTTCAAACTAGCCATTTTATCCACCCAAAGTGATCCTCACATAATCTGAAGATTGAATATGGACATTTTCTTATAAGGACTCAACTCATTTGGCCATGGGAACATGCTCGCTTATGCAACTTTGGCAAATAGTCCATTCAAACTCCCTTCCTGCCTTTGTCCAAAACAGAGAGAGAGCGAATGAGAGAAAGAGAGAGAGTGCAAGTAAAACAGAAAGTTAAGTGTCATTTGCAGTCTCTCTAAAACAGGACAAAAGTAACAGCTAAAAACTTTAGATTTGGAAAAACAATTTTAACTGTTCGATAACTTCCCGAACACTACAAATGGAGACATGCAAGCGTTTAGAATAATATTTGTGACTTGGAAAGCTCACACAGGCTGTCAGCACACAATCCGTGCTGGAGTCTTGTGACTGAATGTTACGCTCCAGTGGGACACGTGACCACATCACTACAATGTAGCAAATATTTCATGCTCTGGTGGATTTACCAAGACACATGTTCTCCCACGGCAAGACCTGCTTTAATGCCATGCGTTCATGTAAGAGACAATCAAGCAATCATGCAAATAATCTTGGAGAAGGAGAAAAAGTGAAAGGAAATGAAAAGTATGCATGACACTTATTGTGATCTAGAAAGATGGATGGGATGACTAAGGGATGGAGAGAGACAGAAAGATCTTTTTCATAAACACAGAGAACATGCAAAGGAAGAGAAAGACAGATAGATACAGTCAAGAAACAGACAGGTATACAAAGATATGGTCAAGAAAAAGAGAGATAGACAAACAGATAAGCAAGAAATTGGGTGGATGGATGGATGGATGGATGGATGGATGGAGGGGTGGATAGATAGATAGATAGATAGATAGATAGATAGATAGATAGATAGATAGATAGATAGATAGATAGATAGATAGATAGATAGATGAATAAATGGGTAGATAGATAGATAGATAGATAGATAGATAGATAGATAGATAGATAGATAGATAGATAGATAGATAGATAGATAGATAGATAGATAGATAGATAGACACGAATGGATGGATGGATGAATAAATGGGTGATAGATAGATAGATAGATAGATAGATGGATGGATGGATGGATGGATGGATGGATGGATGGATGGATGGATGGATGGATGGATGGATGGAAGGATGGACACGAATGGATGGATGGATGGACACGAATGGATGGATGGATGAATAAATTGGTGATAGATGGATAGATGGATAGATAGATAGATAGATGGATGGATGGATGGATGGATGGATGAATAAATGGGTGAATGGATAGACAGACAGATGAACAAAAAAGATGATAGGTATGTAAACATACAGTCAAGAAGAAAAAAACCCAGACAGATACTCAGGAAAAAGATGTCAGACAGTGGTAAATGAACTCAATCAGATCATGTGACCTAACACAAACACATACTGAAAATCCAGCTGGCATATTTTGGTCAGATGGACTTTGCCAAACCCCTTTACTGACCACAAGATTAAAGGATGTGTCACAATTTCACAAAACCTAGACAGCCTTTAGGGCATCAAGGGAACGATCTCAAAGTCTAGGAAAGAGTCACACTCGTATTAGACAGCAAGGAGATATCAAGTGACAGAACTGAAACTCGACTCACCTCTCCGGTTCATGGGCCGAACCCGAACCGCCACCTTGACGTTGGAGTCGTTCAAATTAGCGTCACCCATAATGTATCGATATATCCACGAGGAGACGTGTTATAATACGACCAAAATGCTTGCTGACAGCCTCGAGTTCATAAAATCAAACTCATCTAGATTTGTCTGTCACCGGAGTCCCGGATAATTCGTGATATCTGAAGCGTGTCGTGTCCAAAATTGGCCAGCATTGTCCTTACCGGGTTGTTTTTCTGCGTTTTGAACGGCACAGTAGAGACATGGTCGCTTTTTAAAAATGTTTAAAAGAAAAGTTTGGTGGAATGTCTTGACAGCTGGAGCTTTAGTTGGATCAAAAACAGAGTTGAGAGAACAGCCAACTCCCTCCTGGATTCCTGACACACTCACACTGGGTCAAACTGCAAATGTCAAGACTTTTGTCCGGCAGGAAACCGAGTAACTAATAAGTTAGCAGGGCTTAAATAATTCATGGCTGACTGAGGTTGTCTAACTACCACATTACGCTTGAAGGAGCTGGCTTTGCATTAAAAAACAAACAAATAATAATATTTACAATTAGGAAATCGTTTTTTATCTAAGATCTGTGAAGTGTTTATGCAAAATCATTGGCCTGATTTGGCTTTCGCATGACTATTAGACTAATGTTAGGCTGTCACACAGTGATCTGTCAATGCAGCAATTTAACATGAACAAAATGGCAAACAAACCGGGTAATGTTAAGGACCAAAAAAGAATTAACGTTAAATGTCAACGACAGGAGAAAACCACACACACACACACAAAATAAATCCAAAAATGGCAGTTAATTCCGTGCGAATTATTGATGAAATATTAGGAGATCCAACAGTATCTGATGAATTTTGGTTGCTTTTCAGGCTGGGTCCAACTTCACGAGCTGATTAAAACAATGGTGCTGCTCTACATTGCCATCCAGTTCAGCAGATCTTCAGAGTTAGCATCCAACATCACGGAGACGAGGCTTTTAGAGAACCAACGAATCCAAGAAAATTAAGATCGGACCGATTTAAGGGCTCCAGCGTGGATGTTACGGTCGTATTAAGCAGCCGCTTTATTTCATGACTGAGCAGCGTGAAGCCGCTGATGTTAACGGTGATCTGGGTAGCCCAGCGGAAGTTGGTCTTTCAAAGTAAAAGTCCCTAAAATAAAAGTACCGAAAACATGAATAGTAAATAAATAAACAGGGACTAACAGACAACAAACATAATAATAATAATAATAATAATAATAATAATAATAATAATATTGTTGTTGTTATTCTTTTATAATTTTTAATGTTAATTATTATTATTATTGTTGTTGTTATTATTGACATTTATACTATTATTATTATAAATAATAAAAATAATAATAATAATTATTATTATTATTATTATTATTATTATTATTATTATTATTATTATTATTATGTAGTTGTTGTTATTATTTATTATTATTATTATTATTATTATTATTATTATTATTATTATTATTATTATTATTATTATTATTATTATTATTATTATACACTATCAGTCCAAAGCTTGCTCAGGGTTTGTTTGATCACAAATACAATAATTAACAACAGTAATATTATTCATTATATTATTAATATATTATATATTTTTAATCTACAGTAAAATCTGTTTTACTGATTTGCTGTTCAAAAAAATGTATTATTATAATTGTTCAAAACATTTGTTAGACATTAAATATTCAAAAGCTTTAAAAAAAAGGTTATAGGACACATTCAATAGATCAAGGACGACAGGAAAATAAGTTTTTAATATTCTTTAAAATAAATCTTGTACTCATGAATTAATTATTAAAAGTAAATTCTGTCATGGTTTTCAAAAAATATGAAAGAAATGTTGATATAAACATTATTAAAGTAATAACTCTATTAATAGTAAGTGTACATAGATTTTTTTAAATACATGTAGATTTTATGAGGTACCAAATATCAGAACTGAAACTATGTCATTTATTTGTGATCAGCTGATCTCCTGGGAAAGCCCCACAACCCTCTTTTAAAAAAGATGATGATTTGGAAGTTGTGGTGCTGTCAGATTCATTTTGGTAGTTCCCATTTAAAGTGATAGTTCACCTAAAAAAGAAAATTCTGTCATCATTTACTCATGTTTCAAACATTTATAAGTTTCTTTCTGCTGTTGAACACAAAAGAAGATATTTTGAAAAATGCTGGAAACCTGTAACTATTGAATTTTTTTTTTTTTAAGTTTTGGAAACACTTGGGGGTGTGTAAATTTTCATTTTTGGGAGAATTGTCTCTTTTAGTCTAATATTTTAATGGTGTACAGACTTTTTATATCATTTGCAATGATGCACATTCCAGTCCTCACGTAAACGCACTGCAACTAGCTTTTGAAATGTACAATATTCTTTCATACCACTCATTTTAGGAGGTTAAATACAGAGGGTTTTAACATAAACCCGTTATTTGTTCATGTTGTGCGACATCTGCTGGTCGCATCTAGATTATTAAATCACACTTTCCATACATGTACTTATATTACAGAAAACTTTGACCGCCCCCTGGCGGCGTGCTGTAGAACAGTTTAAAAATTCTCCTCCTATAAGGGTCTAATCTTGTTGTGACAAACATAAATATTTTTGTGAAAACAAACAAAAATATACTCTGAAAAATAAGAAAAAGCATATGGATGTAAAAAGTAAAAAAAAAGTCAGATCGTTGTCAAATAAATTGCATTTTTTGTTCACCACTTCAGCTTCACTTTTTCTAAATGCAGTTTTGAATGTGCTGCCATTTTTTCACCTTCAAAAAAAAAAAAAGATAGATTTTGTGATTTTTTTTCTCCGTGTAAAATAATTGAACTTTAGACAAAATTTGAATAATCAAATTACACTTCAAACCAGTTAATCAGTTAGACTACCACTTATCGTGTCGATGTGTTCTTATGGTTTATGTACTTTTATTAGTGTTTTTTGTTGTTGTTGTTTTATAATTGACTGCGGCTTCATAATTGTGTGATTGTGATTGGTTCTGTTTTGGCGGGAACTTGATACAGCGGCGGATGATCAAGACTGCGCAGACTCGCACTCCGAATGACAATTACAAGATGACAGCCGCCATTCTCTTTAGAAGGTAGCTTAATACATAATTACTTATGTACATAAAGCACGATTTTACAATATTATTGTATGTTGTGCTAATGAAATATGAACAACAATGTTGTTAAAATGACCAACCTGCATGACTTTTCAAGTGGTGCTCGCTGCAGAGCCATTTGAGAAGAGCTGAGCTCCAAGGAGGGGGAGCTTAAGCTTGAGCTCCACCTTTTTGCACTTCTTCTACGAGTGATGTCACCATTTTGAAACAATCTTGTGAATTTAGATATAGTTATTTTGTCACATACTGTTATACAGATGTAGCTTGCTTATGTAAGATTTTGGATGCAGCCTTTGGCTTCACTTTTCTACAGATAAATAAAGACTGTCTTCTTTTTTCTTTTTCTTTTCTTTTTTTACAGTCTATGGTTGTTTCCAAAAAATGAAAGTGGACTATAATTTTAAATATTATTAAATATATTTATACAACTTTCTTTTTCAACTTTTTTACTATCCTATCTCATTTTGTTAGCATCTTTATTTAGGTCAAACCTTAAAAAAGGTACCTTTGTTATGTAATTGTAAATAATTGCTTTTTTGTTAATGCAAAAACCCCTATGAATGTACATTGTGTATTATGGAATGAATGTGTTGTAATTGTAATTTGAACATATACTATGTTCATCATGTTCATTCAATAATTTTCCTTCGGCTTTGTCCCTTTATTCATCAGAGGTCACCACAGTGGAATGAACGGCCAACTTTACACAGCGGATGCCCTTCTAGATGCAACTCAGTACTGGAAACACCCATACACTCTCACATGCACACATATACACTACAATCAAATTAGTTCATCCAATTCACTTAAAGCGCATGTCTTGGGACTTTGGGGGAAACAAGAGCACCGATAAATAAGGGATAAATAACTGATAAATAAGGGACTAATGCGAAGAAAAATAAATGAATGAATAGTGTATTTTTTAGAACTCAACAAATATCTTTATGGACAGTATACAGAAATTAAATTGAGACTAAAGTTTGTATTTATTTATTTATTTGTTTCATATATATGGCTTTTGTGTTTTATAGAATATGAGTTGATAAAAATATTGGACATGCATAAATAGATAGCATTTTGATTGAATTTAGTGGGCCGCTCTGGCCCAAAATGCCAGGGCTGATTTTTTGCCCCAGTCCAGCCCTGCCCAGCAGAAACCTACACGAAGATGGGGAGAACATGCAAACTCCACAGAGAAATGCCTACTGGCCCAGCCGGGACTCAAACCAGTTACCTTCTAGCTGTGAGGTGACAGTGCGAACTTTATATGATGATGATCCTGTATTTAGGGAGGTGCGGTGGCTAACGCTGTCACCTCACAGCAAGAAGGTCCCTGGTTCGAGCCCCAGTTTGCATGTACTCCCGGTGTTCAGGTGGGTTTCCTCCAGGTGCTCCGGTTTCCCCAAGTGCAAGGACATGAATTAAATAAACTAAATTGTCTGTCGTGTATGTGTGAGCGAATGAAAGTGTATGGGTGTTTCCCAGTGATGGGTTGCAGTTGGAAGGGCATCCGCTGCGTAAAACATATGCTAGATAAGTTGGCGGTTCATTCCGCTGTGACAGCCCCTGATTAACAAAGGGACTAAGCTGAAAAGAAAATGAATGAATGATCCTGTATTTATTGGTTATGTAATACATACATATCCCACTAGAGGATGCCGAATTCCTAAATAAAACCCCTCGAATTTACTTTTAAGGTCAGAGCATTATAAAATAACAGTTAAGGCAGGTGTTCTACACTTACATTCTTTGCTCTCACAAAAATAGTTTGCATACTTTAGCATTACTGTAAAAAAACAAAGTCTCCAAAAAGTTTGATCAAGTCTCTCACTTGAGTTTACTTAAAGCTGAGTCACCATTGGCGTACAGTCACACCCACTGCACTTACATGAGTAAGTTGTCTGTAACTGAAATGTCATGCTCCACCCTGCACATAAAGGTTGAAAATAGGTAGAATAATTACAGATGAAGAAGTGCCTCTTCTGTTGTGAGTTTAATTTGACTGTCCTTTCAGTAAAAGGAAAAAGTTGTACGCAGAGAAAATACGTCTGCTCCAAAAAAAACACACAGAGTCACAATACGGAGAAAACAAACTACAATTTAAACAGCCGTCTGTGGTGATTAGGGTTGAAATGTAAATAGGATTTGACGTTTGCTGATTATGTCATTAATTTGGGGCCGCCGCAATTGTGCAATCATTGGCTCTAATAAAGTCTAAATTAGATTTAGATCAGCTTACTGAACAAAGCATTAATCACAGCGTAAGCAAAATTCCACTGTGAAATTGAATCCTTATGCATGTTTCTTTTTTCAAGATCTATGACTTAATCATTTCAGTCTGGGTACATACAGTGCACTTTGAAGCTTGGCAATTTAGTGTAAATGTTAGAGCGTGAGGGGTCTGACGGAGGACTCCTGTGATCTGTGTGGCTGCAGGAGGAGGGTCTTCCAGGGGAAAGGGCATCTGCTTTGAATCCCTCCACACGGGCAGCCTCCACCCCACTGTTACGCTTTTACCTCCTCTCATACCTGAAGACACTATTAGAGAAGAGCAACAAACCACATCCATCTCAGAGTAATTTTAATGAGCTCATTGCATTACTATGGGTTGTTTATTTATTGTGGTTAGACAAATACCTGGGGCCTGTTTCAGAATGGCGGTTAACTGAAAACTCAGAGTATTTTAACCCTGAAATGAGAGAAACTCTGGGTTTTCCGTTTCAAAATGGCAGGTTTGTTAAACTCAAGAAAGCAGGGTAAGTGAAGCCTGTTTCTGAAAGAGAGGTAACTTTAACTCAGAGTCAGTTACTGTGGTAACTCACTCTGTGAATCTAACCTGGTCAGAAGCAGGTTTTATTCTCTAAACTCAGAGTTTCTGTTGGTCTCCTCCCCTTTTTAAAGATAAAGCGGTATTTCTCGCTTTAGCCTTACGTTTCCACCCACCTATTTTAATGCTCATTTTGGATACGTGCATAAAAACGATTGATAGA